GGGAAGGAGAAGGCTTAAAACAGGGGAGGGAAGAACACAAGGGTCTATGGTGATGTGGTGGTGTGAGGTTTCTGGGGTTACACCTGAGGGGAGAAATCAAATATTGAACAAAAATGAACAACCATGTAAGGAAATAAAAAAAAATTTAATCAGTTTAAAAAAAGTGGCCCTCTTCTGGTTGTGTAAAACTTAAATGAGCATAATACTGTATTTCATGAAGACAGTACAATCGTGTCAGAGACCTCTGAAACTGTTAGAATTGCTATATGTCAAGAATATAGAACTAGAAATATTTTGGGGCGCATATCAAAACAAATCACATATTTATTATGCTGCTGGTAATTAATTAACGTGAATCCCTCACCTTGAAATCATCGGGAATGAGGAGTTTTGATGTTCGTAGAAAATTCAAGATATATCTGAACATCTGTCCATCTCTGTCAATGAAATAGTGCTGTTTGAGACTGTCCAAAACAATGGGTTCTGTACCATCAAAAAGTCTTCCGATTCTGTGATAGGAAAGAGGGAACAGTGAAGACAATTAGAATCAGTTGTTTGCCACTAAGTGTAAGAGCTACCATTTTGTGTCAACCGTAGCAGTTTCAAAACTGGCAGTCAGGAAAAAATCACCCTTTAAGTAGTAATGGTTCTCTGAGAAGTGCTGGTCCCTGCTTGATAAATATCTCAGGGCCAGACAATTCAAAATAGTCTCAGGTTTTCTCAAGTAAGTTTTTTACTCACTTTCTTTTACCTGTAAAGGAAATGTTCCTGACATGGTGATTATGGGTAAGTGCTGTCACTATAATGGAAGATCATGTCTTTCCTCTTGTTACTTAAAACGACCTCTGCAGCTTAAAAAATGTTATTGCTCCAAAGTGTCTTTTAAACAGATTCCACAAAAAAGCAATTTTGTTTTTAAGAAATGTGTTTTCTGAGCTTTTCCCATGAATCCCAAACTTGTTAAAAAATAAAACAATGCCTATATGTTAACATCTACATATAATTACAAAAAAGAATAATTGAAAATATTGCTTGTCTAGAAAAACATGTTTTCCATTAACAAAACACAGTTTAGTTTCTTAAGGTCTTAGCAAACATAATTCCTAACAGCCAGGCATCATCATAAAAACTATATATGTGAACTAGTGCTGAACATTAAGTAATTGTGGATAATTTTTAAAAACAGGAATCCATAATGCTTTTCCCATTTATAGAGTTAACATTTGAACTGAGGTTACAGTTGAAGCATTCTGCACTATTATCATTTATTCATATAAAGAAGATTGGTCCTACTTACCCATGCCTATAATCAGTTAACAGAAAATGGTCATATGTCTATCTGAGCAAGCAGGGGGTTGAGTAGCAACAAATATCCTATGTTAGAAAACGGAACTTATTAGTTATACTAGAAATCATTCCTTTTACCAAAAGAATGTATTTTACTTTTCACAGGCAGAGAAATGGCTCTGCTTTTAAATGAAAAGCTTCTGCAGCACTCCTAACAAATCTATGTCTGATTGGGAACGTCATTTAATTGCTTTCAGTCATTTTGAAATCATATGTTCTTAATCTTAGGTTGAAACTGGACAGATGTAATAGTAGACAATAATCCTGCCACTCTTAAAATACAGCAAGCTAACAAATAAGAAAGGACTACCCCAAAAGACATGCATTTTTAACTCATTTCTTACCAGAAACTAGAAAGTGCAAATAAGAAAGCAACTTATTTGGGGAGGGGCTGGTGGGAGGGGGAGAGAAGCAAGAAACTCCTTATAGTCAGATGCTATTTCTAAAACTCAGCATCCTTTTCTCAGTTTTGCCCAACTTTACATATTTTCTGAGTGATTATCCAGGGGGTAGATTCCAGCCATCCTAGTGTTCTTTGCTAGGATGCTACCTTGCCATTCATTTCTCATTCACATCAATCAAAAAGTAGGCTACACAAAGAAGAGGCAGTAAAGCTAAAATATATTTAGTCACTTATTTATAGTGTTTCCAAGACAGTTTGCAGGATGGAAAAGAATGAGACTTGTTTGCTTATTATTAAAGCATTTTACTTTTCACTGTTAATAACATGATAAATTTGCAGCTGACAGGGAAAGAAAGGGAAGCTATATTTATTAAGCTTTTTTTCAGATAGCTTTCACTCTCCTAAGACTTTCTGTATGTAGCAAACTCATTATCCTCCTTTTAAGGATGAAGAACTAGGCTCAAAATTATGAGTAACTGGCCCAGCTAGTTAAGCAGCATTGATCTTAAAGGCACCTCCTTACAATGATAGGAATGAAAAGAATGACCTCTATGGACTGAAAGCTTTTCCTGTAGGGTTTTATTTCTATCTTTTGTTTGTTCAGCTAGAGCTTTACAATGTAATCTAAGCAATGATGATTTTTAAAAAAAAATTTATTTATTTATGCATACAGAACTGGGGTGCAGGCTAGAGGCTCAGGGGCAGTGAGAGCATTCACCAGAGACAGAGTGGGGAGCAGAACAGGCAGATAGACAAGTATACTGCTGAGGTGAGCAGCGGGCCAGTCAGGAGATATCTGCCGTGCTGCTGGGAATCGAACTCTTGCTGAAGTGACTTTAGCTTCTTAGTGCTGTGCTATGCCCGCTGAGCCACCAGGGAGGGCCCTAAGCATTGACGATTTTGTGGCCTGAAATAGTATCAATAATTGCAAACACTTGCGTAAAAAGGTGGAAAGTATTTTATTCTTAAATGGAAAGTATTTTATTCTTAAATCCTATGCTTATTTTTAATGCTCATTTCAAAATCTAGATGTGGATGTACACTAGCACGGCATAAGTGATTAATAACTCTCCACTTAGTGAATAAGTAAAGGAGTAACTGAGTGGGGAAAGGAATGAAGCTCAGCCAGTTACTGCTGTTATCTGGATGAGTCCATTCCTCTGCACCTCCCTTGCTTTGATAAAAATGATTTCTTTTATAAAACCACCCTAACTTTCTCTCAGGGTTGATAAGAAAATGAAATGATGTCATGGCAGCTCAAGAGAAGCAGAGCAACAGAAGGCATCCCTAACTAACAAACAAACATTTCTAGGAAGGCAGCTCTCAGATGACCGCAGGCGCTAAGGAACAGGATTTAAGGAGTAAATGGAACAATCTTGGCAGAAGTGTATTGTTACAGACCTTTCCAAGATCGGAGAGAGGAAACTTAATTTAAGTGTTTTTAGGATGCAAAACAAACAAAAGCTACCTCTGTGAGATCCAGGAAGTTGTGTATAGCTGCAATTAGCTGCATTTAGCAGCACCTTAACATCTGACTTAGGGGAAATAGGGAAAGAGGCAAAGGACAGGAGCCCAGCTTGGACACAGAAGAGGTAGTGCCTGTGGGCAGGCCTGGGAGAAGCACAGGGGCAGACTTCCTTGAAGAAGAAAGTAGAGGAGGAGATGAGGAGGAACTGGACCCCACCCTTCACTTCAGAACCCCTAGCAGGGTGCTGAGCAGGGAGGCCCAGTAAACTTGACAGGGAGCTATTGCTTGGAGGATCACGGGGGCGGAAAGAGACTTAAAGATGGTGGTGAAATACATGTTGGCCTCCTACTTAGGGCTGAACAAGGCTCTGTGGTCTGTGCAGGAGCTGAGAGGGAATAAAGGACTGTTCTGAGAAGGGAAGTCTCAAATGAAGAGCCGGTGGGCCTCATCCACGCACATTCCTGACTGAGGTGAAGGCCCCTTGGTGAAGAAAGAAGGCCTGGATTTGAGGCAACTGATGTGAAGAGTAAAAAAGGGAAAAGTGCTGTTGATGTTCTTAACTTTAAAAGGAGGAATGTTTGCATTGTGTAAACAATGCCGAGGAATGGACAGTGCCAGCGATCGTAAAATGGCGTCCATGGGTGGGGGTGTTGATATTGAGCTGAAGGTGCAGCGCCGTGAAGCATATTGTTTGGCTAAGCAAATAAAGGGGAAAATCGACACAGGCTGTATTTCTTGTGGACATATGAATGGAGTTACAAATCAAACTGCACTGATTGTAAACTCTGGTGCCTAAAAACTATGTGGAACTGATTACAGTTTACTAACCTCAGAGAGCATTCCTGTTTTTCAACTGACCAAGACCAAGCTGGCTCTGGATGATGTATGGCTGGTTTTGTTTTCTTTAAATACTCACCGAGCTAAGTACAATGCTGAGAAAAACTTCCTTCTACAACTGACTTTTTGATACATTAAAGAAAAATATTTTATGGGTACAGGGGTTAAGTCTCAGCACTCTCACTAGCCAATGCACCTGAGTTCAGTCCCTGTCCAGGGAGCTGACCCACATGGCAAAGCAGACCTATTCCTGAGCAGTGTATTTCAGTAGATCTGCCTGTTCTGTTCTTTTTTTTTTTTTTTTTTAAAAGATTTATTTATGTTTACAGAAATGGGGTACAGGCCAGAGGTGTGGTGGGTGAGAAGATCCACCAGAGACAGAGTGGGAAGCAGAATAGGCAGATCCACTGAAATACACTGCGGAGGGGGGCAGAGGGCAGGTCAGGAGAAGTCTGCCATGCCATGTGGGTCAGCTCCCCTTCAGGGGATTGAACTCATGCTGCAAGGGCCTCAGAGAACTTCATAATGCAGTACTTTAACTCGTTGTACCACCAGGGAGAGCCCAAAAATAAATCTTTAAAAAATATGTCATTTTAGATAATTTCAAACTTACCAAAGGGTAGAAAATTATATAATGAATCCCCCAGTATTCATTCAGTTTTAGAAGATCTGAACTCTTGGCCAGTTTTGTTCTACCTATACCTATGCCTTATTCTCCCTAGTGGGATTTTGTAAGTAAGTCCCAAACATTGTTCATTTTTTTTCCTTCTCAAAGAATATATTGGGGAAAATTTGGATAGTTTAGGGGAAGAATAGGGAAACAGATAATTGTAGGGGAAATTGCTACAGAAGGGAAGAGAAGACAAAGGAAAACTCAGTGAAGGCGTATTGACAAGCAACCCAGCTGAGAATGGAATGGAAAGACATGGAAAGTGGCTTTTAGGTTTCCAAGTCTCCCAGCATGAGGTTTGCATTCTCATTCTTCCTATTTGGCAGCAACAAATGGTTTTTCATTTTTGCGTCTTCTCTAGGATCCACACATAGTCTGTATCCAATAAGATTACTGTTAATGGAATTATCCCAAGTTTATGTTCAGTTGTCAATTTCACATAACTATTTTTTTTTGTATTTCACATAAAAATTTTTCTAGACTTCTAGTGTCTATAATATGCAAAAGAATAAAGTTTATCATCCTATATTTCATCTGTAAATATTTTATTAATAGGATTATAAAGACTTACTAAAAATATGCATTAGCAGATATTGAAATACATCCATCTTTCATGTTTTTTAATATTCACATTCTACTATTATTCTTGTTTATGGAGAAGATAATGCAGGGCCAAATCTCTGAGGAAATTAAGCTCTTTTTGGTGGATAGCAAGTCTGTTTCCCCCCCATGGCTCACCCTCCTTCTCATATAATGAATTGTACACACTGGTCATTAAAGAAGT